CAGAGGCCTTCGGCATGGCCATGAACACCGAGGCGTCGAACGGCGTCTGTGTCGGAGTAGATCACAGGTGCGTGTCTTTTGAGATCCCGGTCCGTCTTGCGAGCGCTGCCAAAACACGACTGCCGGAGAGGGGGAGACGGCCGCCTCTTTCGCGCAAGATGTTTTAAGAAAAGGCCGACGTGGCCCCCAGGGTCGCGTCTTGCATCGGCCTGCCAGCGCTCGTGAGTTTGCGGCGATATCGAACATGGACTCGCCCAGTCTTTGCTGTGCCACTCGGACTGTTCACGCCGCCGAGACCAGGGTGGCCCGAACCAAAACTCTTATATCCGTAATCTGATCGCATAAAGACGAGCGGCGCGACGAAGGCATGCCGGGGCCAACCAAAGAGGCCGCCCAACGTCATCAGCAAGGAGCTGCATAGAGATATTCGAAAACATGAGCATGCACGCAAGCCAAAATATACCGCTGGCATTCTGAATCAGTTCAAGGGCGCGCGCGATATGCCTGCCGCCACTAATCGCGGCTGGAAGGTGCGCCTGACGGGCGCCCTCGATTTCCGAGGGGCGGGCCCGCGCAGACCGCCAAACAATTCCTGGTGTCTTCGCGACTTTTTCTGGGCCTTGCGCGCTGAATGACAGCGTTTGGCACGGGAGGCGCAAGCTGCAACCGACGGAGTCGGGCGCTTCGAAGTTCCCCCTTGTCACTGTCGACGATGTCCGGGCGCGAGCGGAGCGCGTGGAGAGGGGGGGGGGGCTGCTGGCGGCCGGGGGATTTTGGAAGACATGTTCGAATGCGGCTGGCCAGCTCCCATGGAATCTATTGCGGCCTTATGCGCGGGCGCGCTCGGCAACTGCGAGGAGCCGCCTCGTGCAGACATTCTCGAGTAACTTTGGCGTTCTTGCGCGAAAGTGTCGGGGGCTTTGGGCCGTCGCAGCTGATTTTGAGAAGGCCTTCGGTTCTGTTTCCCGCGGCAGAGCATGGGCGGCGCTCCGCGCCCAACGTGTTGCTGAGCCGCGAATTCAAGCTCTGGCTCGTCTCCACCAGGGCCAGACAGCGCAAGTCGCGTCAGACCAGAGCAGCCGGACGTACAATCTGGGGCGACGCACCCGCCAAGGAGATCCACTCAGCCCAGTTGTTTTTAATGCGGTCCTGGAGCATGTCACGCGCGATTCAAAGTTTGCGCGGGGAACGGGTCGGCGCGGTGTTCGCATTGGAAACGGGCGCCTCACATAATTGCGTGTTGCTGATGACGCATACTACTTTTGGGATCAACTCGCGCCCGGGCCCGCCGCGCGCCGCGCGACTTGCAGACGGCGCCCGGCCCGGGGAGTCGGGCTCAGGCTGCGCACGGGCAAGACGAAGATCTCGTCGAATTCAGAAGCGCGAAAGTTGCGTTGCTGCAGAAGAAGCAGTTGCTACGTAAACGTTATCCCGTCTGACGGGGGCACTGTCTATTTGGGAAGGCTGGCTTCGTTCGCTGAGTTCCACAACGTCGAACTGACTCGCCGCTTCTCTGGTGGGTGGGCAGCGCATGGGATCCGCTGCGCTGCAGAGTGCGCCTGTTCGACGCGACGGCGACTTCCCCCGCGCCGCGCGGCAGCGGGCGCTGGGCGAGACGACGGGGAGGGCTCGCGCGTGGAAAACCGAGGAGAGAAAAATGACGCGGCAAATCATTCAAGCGCCGAGAAGACATGTCGAGCATGCCGATATGGGCATCGAGCAGGAAAGCCGGGTAGACCAGGCGGGCCGAAGGGCTCTTCTGGCGAGCCGGTTACCGCAGCTGGGGCGATCAATGGCAGGAGATAGTATGCCGATTGCAAGGCCGAGCACAGCAATGCGAGGGCGGGCGCTGGCCCGCCAAACTTGTGGATTGGGCGCGCGAGGGCGCTCGCGCGACCGGGCGGCCCCGGCGGCGCCGCGCAGATAGATCCTCGGTGCTGTTCTTCATGTGGCGAGCCCGGCTGCCCTCCAGGGGCGCGGGCGCGGGGCCAACCGAAGCGCTGCGTCCTGTCCTGTCGTGTCTTCCTGTAATTCACGAGGCTCGCGCCGCTCCGTCGATCCCCATTGCGGCGAATTCGTTCAGAGTCGCGCCGCCGTGCATGGCCTGTGGGTCTGAATCCTCGGGAATGCATGTGCGGGGGCCTCCTGCAGGGCTCTTGGGGTCATCTGATTGGCTTTGGCGGCCTTTTGGGTGCTTCTTGGAAGCCTCTCCGGGGGGGCCTCGAGGGTCGCTTGGGAGCTCGTGGAGCCATCGCGGCGGCGGGAAAGACTCTTGGGACTCTCCTGGGCCGTCTTGGTGCCCTCTTTGGGCTCTACTGGGCCGGCTTAGGGCCATCCTGGGGGCCTCGTGGGCCGTAGTGGACGCTGTCGAGATGAAAAACAGCGTGTATGTCGAAACTGCGCGCTCTCCTCACGGAATGGGACGACTTTGCCTCTCGGCGGCCCTATCGGCTGCCTGCTAAGAGCACTCTTGAGCCGTCTTGGAGGGCTCGTAGAACCTCGAAGCCATCTGAGACCGTCGCGAGCTACCCAGGGCCGTCTCGACACTCTCTTGGATTGTCTCGGCGCTCATTTTGCCGTCTTAGGGCTCTTTGAGGGCTGCACGAAGCACCTGGGGTGCGCCGGGGAGCTCGCCCCCCCTTTCCCCCCTTGCCCGCCCCCCCACGTGCAATGCGACTGTTGGTCCCGCGCCAGGGGGAAAGGGGGAGGGGGCCAGCCAATCAGCTCGCGCGCCTTCTTGGCCCAGGCAAGCGGGGGTCGGCTGTCGCCGTGTCCTTTTCCTCCTTCCTCCTCCTTCGTATCTTCGTCATGCTGCCTTCCATCCTTGCTCCCTTTTGGATAACCCCCCCGTGGCCAAACCAGGCGTGTCAGTAGGGCTGGCCGAGCGTTTCGCTTGAGATGTGCTACCTTGTGATGGTCCTGCAGCATGAGGCGCCAGCAGTTGAACGGGTGCAGGGCGGGTGATTTTCAACGTGTGGCTTTCACCTCGGTGCCGTTTGTATTCGTCGCTTACGTTTCCAAGAGCTACAAGGATGAAGGGCCGCTCGTTTTCAGAATGCGGCTTTGGCTTAGCGCCCAACACGGCCGTCTCAAAGCATTCCGAAAGTTACGCATGTGATGGGCTGACGGTTTCAAAAATGTGGCTTTCGCTCAACGCAGCGCATACTCGCTTCAAAATGTTCCAACGGCTCGAAGTGTACACGATTCCCTTTTGAATGAGACTCTCGCTTGGTCAGAATTGCAAGCGCTCAGCAGTTACACGTTTTTTGGTGGTGGGGTGGCAATGGTTCGGGTTTTCATGTGATACTGTAAAGCTTTCACGGGAGACGACGGCGACGGCAACGGCGGCGTCGACGACGACGACGGCTTGGGCCAGAGTCCTCGGGGATGCTTCTTGGAGTCTCTTTGGAAGGCTCTCGGTGGCCTATGGAGAGGAATTTGGGAGCCTCTTGGGGGCATTTCGGGGGCCTCTTCGGGTTTCTTGGGGGCCTCTTGTGGGCCTCCTGGGGCCTATTGGGAACCACTCGGGGCCTTCCAGGATAATCTCGGGGCCGAGGGCTCGAAATGTCTGTTTGGGTCGAACCGTTTTGAGGGCCTCTCGGGGCCTCTTGCGCCGCCTTGGAGCGGCGGGAAGTGGAAAAGGCGAGAACGCCGCAATCTTCAAAAAACCAACGGGCAGTCAATGAATTTGGCGCCTTGGGGCCCTCTCGGGAGTGGTTTTGGAGGCTTCTTGGGGCATCCTGGAGGCCTCCCATGCAGTCTGGAGGGCGCGAAGGCGTTCTGAACCGTTCGGGGGCCCTCTGGACAGTCTCGGGTGCCTCTTGGGGCACTCTTAGGTTGTTTTGAAACTCTTTGAGGCCCTAGGACCCCCAGAAGGAGATGCGTATCAGACCCCCCCCAGGACCCCCCCTGGGATCCGCCCCGGGATCCCCCCCGGACCCCCCCCTCCACCATCACGAGACGGGGGAGGGATCAAAGGGAAGGGGCTTCCCTTCGACTCGATTGCGACGTTGCTCGATCTTTCTTTCGCTGACCAGCTTGAGGAGGATGGCGCAGGGAAAGGGGACGACGGAGACGACGACTGGAACAGAGAGCCCCTCACGCACGCCGACGGTCAGCGGAGACTTCTTTTGGGGGTGGGGTGCTCCGGGTTTTCATTCATGTGATATTTCTATGAGCTGTATGATCTCCTCCTCGTCTTTCTATACAGGGGGGTGGGGTGCTTCGGGTTTTCGTGTGATAGTTCTTGGAACCGTATGATCGCCTCCTCGTCTTCCTGTGGAATGCAGAAGGCTGCAGGGCCGTCGTTTTTTTTTTTTTTTCAGGCGGGCCCTCTGGCTCGACAAAGGCCGGCCCGCGGGGCGCTCGTGCTGGTTTGAAAAGGGGGTGCGCCTCGCGTGCGCAGGTGGCGAGGAGGGTCTGCGGGGACTTCTGCGGGGGGTGCTCGGGACGGGAGCGCCTGCAGTTAAGTCGGGCCTGTCCTTCTACAGGAGGGATAGTCAAAGATAGTCAAAAATAGTCTGGGGGCATTTTTGTTTGTGCTGTTTGATTTGTGTTGCATATTTTTGATTTTTAATAAAATGTTTCCTCGACAATCCCCCTGTAGGGGGACAGGCCCGACTTAAGCCTACAGTGCGGGCGCGCAACAAGAAACCATCTGCTATTCGTCAGGGTACCCTGGGCTTCTTCACTCCGCGCGCTGCGCGTTGGCTTCCCGCTGCCGTCCGTCAAAGGAGCGGCTGCGTTCAGGGTGTTCCGTCTTCTCCCTCAGGTGCACCTGGCGCGCGGGTTTTCAGGTCTAGGTTGCCTGCGAGGGTTTCTTGCGACCGCGCCCGCACTACATCGAAGCATCGTGGACGCCTCCTGGATCTGCTCTGCCTGCTCCGTTCCTCCTTCCCTGGCATCCCCCATCCCCCCTCCTCGGCGTCTGCTCCCTCCCCCTCCCCCCCCCCGTCACTCCTCGGCACTTCGCTCCCCCCTCCCTGCCCCACGCGGCCCAGGTGGCAAGCTCGGCCCCTCCTGGTTCGACCGCGTCGGGCCCGAGGAGGCGGAGGAGGAGCGTCGTCGGCAGCCGCCGTCCTCCTCCCATTCCTCCTCCCCCCCCTCCTCCCATTCCTCATCCCCTCCTCCTCCTCCTCCCTCCTCCTCCTCCTCCTCCTCCTCCTCCCTCCTCCTCTTCGTCCTCCTCCTCCTCCTCCTCCTCCTCCTCCTCCTCCTCCTCCTCCTCTTCGTCCTCCTCCTCCTCCTCCTCCTCCTCCTCCTCCTCCTTCTACTACTCCCCGCGCCCCGCGCACGCGGGACCGGACCGGGCGGGGAGGAGGGCCGCAGCGCGGCGGGTCAGCGAGGGGGGGGAGAGCGAGAAGGAGAAGATGCCTTCTCGGAAGGCGGCGGGGCTTCTCCGACGCCTTCGCGCCTTCCGAGAGGTTTTTGTTTTGCGTGTTCAGGGAGGGCTTTCCGAGAATTTCTCGGAAGGCCAGAGCTTACCAGCCTCGAACGTATCCCTATCCCTAAGATTGACACGCCAAAAGGCGATGACAATCTTAGGGATTCGCCCTCAAAAAAGTAAGGGAATCCCTAAGACTGGCATCGTGATGAGGAGGTGCCCGGCATAGGGATAGGGATATGTTCCAGGCTGGTCAGAGAGGTTTCTGTTTTGCGGGTGCAGGGAGGGCTCTCCGCGAAAACTTCTCGGAGGGCCAGGGCGCTTCCGAGCCTTCGGAGAGGGCCCGGCAGGACGCCTCCACCGAGAGCGGGGAGACGGCGTCCGTCACCGGCTCGGCGGTGGAGGCCCGCACGCGCCCGGCCGCCGGCGGGGGCGCTCGGGGCGGCCAGCGGCTCGGCGTCGGGCGTTCGTCGCGAGTGGCGAGGCCACCCATCGGTCGGGGGCGGCCAAGGGGGGGGTGATGACTCGGGGGAGGGGGACATCATGGCGTGGGCCATGACATTCCCTCAGGTTTCATGGCGCCTCTTCTCATTTCATGGCGTTCCCGGCCCCCCCCCTCTGGGCCGCGCACGTGCCGCCCGCCATGATTCGAGCCCCCACTCTTGGCCTCCTCCCTCTTGGCCGCCCCCGAATCGGTTGTGAACGTCCAGGCCTCTTCGTTAGCAAATCATGGGAGCCTCGTGTAGCCTCGCAATTCTGTCTTCGGCGCCGATTAGCGTCGATCAGTGTCTGGGAGTCGATGAGATAGCGCCGATTTGGCGTCAGCTAGCTTCGATTAGCGTCGATCTAGCGTCGATTAGCGTCGACTTAGCGTCGACTAGAGTCGACTCGCAAGAGCCAACAAGATGGTATGGGAGGCTCCCATTAGTTGCCACCGAAGTCGGAGGATCGTGCTGTATCGCCGATGCATCGGCGATGCGGCTCGATGTGGAGCCTGATTTTCTCCAAGCCGACATCGCCGACGGCTCCGATGCATCCGCGATGTGTCGGCGATGTGTCGGCCATGCGGCGAGATCCTCCGACCCCATTTACTCCGACCCCATCTGCGAGGCCTCTAGACAGTAAGCAATGTTGGATGTCCAGGTTCCAGCGTACGTGAGGCGCCTTCCCATTTCGACGATCGAGCGGTTTTCCCTAGTTCTTCGTCGTTCAGGGGGCGGGCGGGAATCCACTCTGCGTTCCACGCCTTCCCGCTGCATGTTTCTGCCCACTTCCGACGACCGATGAGAGTATCGGTCTCGGGGCGTCCTCTCGAGGGTGCGTTTGCGCAGAGATGCTTCGTATCCCGGGAGTCGGGGAGTCGGGGGCTCCAGATTGCGTGGGTGCGGAAGGGGGAGGTATGCTTCCCTCGCCTGCGAGCTCGCAGGTGGCCAGAGGAGCGCTGTGTCCACGCTGCGGCGCTTCGGTGTGCAGCTTGTCGGACTCCTCGACGGTTCGGGGAGGGGGCACCCGTGGGACACGGTTTTGGACCCCAGGAGTCGCAGACATGGCCTCGCGACGCGTGGCTTATACCGGCGCGGCCCGCTTCCGCACAGAGCCGGCGCCGCGCCGCCGCCGCCAAAGTCAGGCCGCAGGGGCCTCGGGTTTCGGGGGGTGCCTTCCCCGATCCATGTCAGCGCGGGCCCGATGGACGCAGCTCGGACGAACTTCTCGGGATGGTGTGCGGGACCCTGACCTTCCAGGAGGGCAAAAAAATAGCACCCGACTTAAAACCTATACCAGAGCTACTCAACGTCTTGGTTTTAGGCTGTTTCGTTGCGTTTTTTTTTATTTTTTTTTTATATGTTTTTGGGTCTCCCGTGCTAAAAAAATAGCTCTCTGGAAGGTCAGGGGAGGTGGTCCGTGGGTGGACTTCGAGGGGGGGGGGCCTTGCCCTCCTCCGGGGACGCGCGCCGCCTCGGCGCGGCGGCGGCGCGGGTGCGATGAAGCTCTGGGCGGAGCACCCACGGGGGGGGGGCCCGGCGCGGGCCCGTCGGGGGGTGGGGGGCACAGGAAAGGGGCCCCCTGGCGCGGGGCCCGTGCGAGAGGGGGTGGGGGTGCCGAGGGCCTCGTCCGGGGGGGTCCCTCGGCGAGGGCGGAGACTGCGAGGGCGGAGGCTGCCGGGGGCTGGGCGCTGCGCGCGCGGAGCGAGAGGCCAGACTGCGGGAAGAGAGCGCGCGCCTCCACCCCCCCCCACCCCCTTCGCGTGTCGATGTCTCCAAGTGCGCCGCCCCGACCCCCCCCCCGGCCGGGACGGGTTCTCCCTCCCGAGCAGTTCTGGTTGACGGCCCAGGGCCCCGGCAAGGGCCCCCAGAGAGGCCGACGGCGGCCAAGCGTCTCGCGTCGTGATTTGCTCGCGGCGCGAGCATGTCAGGGCCTGGCCCCCCGCCGCTCCCACGCCGTCGGTGCGGAGGTGGACGCCGTGTCGGTGGCGGACTCCGAGCAGGCCTGCTGCCGAGCCCAACCAGATACGCGCTCGACCTCGGCGGCGTCCGACGACGGGGCGGAGGAGATCCGCGAGCGCTGGGCGGACATCTCCGGCGACGAGGGCCAGGACAGGGGTCGACTGAATCGTTGTGCTGACACTCGCGTGCTTCGTTGTAGTTCTCAACCATCCTGTGGTGTTGGGTCCCCTTTTTGAAGAGGCGGTCCACACCTCTTATCTCCCTCCTCCTGCTCCTCCTCCTCCTCCTTCTCCTCCTTCCCCTCCTCCTCTTCCTCCTCCTCCTTCCCTTCCTCCTCCTCCTCCTCCTCCTCCTCCTCCTCCTCCTCCTCCTCCTCCCCTCCTCCCCTTCCTCCCCTCCTACCTCACGCACCATCATACGTTTCGTGGCCCCATGAGAAGCTCCACCGAGGGCCCAGATGCCAGCGCTCGCATGCGATCTCCGCACCCATCTTGGCACACCCCTCGCACGTTTCGTGTCCCCATAAGAAGCTCCACCGAAGGCCCAGATGCCAGCGCTCGCATGCGGCCGCCGCTCCTATTTTGGCACACCCCTCGCACGCTTCGTGGCCCCATGGGGAGCTCCACCGAAGGCCCAGGTGCCAGCGCTCGCATGCGGCCGCCGCACCCATTTTGGCACACCCCTCACACGCTTCGTGGCCCCATAGGTATGTGCACCGAAGGCCCAGATGCCAACGCTCGCACGCGGTTTCCGCATCCATGTTGGCAACCGAAGGCCAAGATGCCAGCCTTCCCATGCGGTCGCAGCACCCATTTTGGCACACCTCTCACACGTTTCGTGGCCCCATGGGGAGCTCCACCGAAGGCCCAGGTGCCAGCGCTCGCATGCGGCCGCCGCACCCATTTTGGCACACCCCTCACACGCTTCGTGGCCCCATAGGTATGTGCACCGAAGGCCCAGATGCCAACGCTCGCACGCGGTTTCCGCATCCATGTTGGCAACCGAAGGCCAAGATGCCAGCCTTCCCATGCGGTCGCAGCACCCATTTTGGCACACCTCTCACACGTTTCGTGGCCCCATGGGGAGCTCCACCGAAGGCCCAGGTGCCAGCGCTCGCATGCGGCCGCCGCACCCATTTTGGCACACCCCTCACACGCTTCGTGGCCCCATTGGGAGCTCCACCGAAGGCCCAGATGCCAGCGCTCGCATGCGGTTGCCGCACCCATTTTGGCACACCGCTCACACGCTTCGTGGCCCCATTGGGAGCCCCACCGAAGGCCCAGATGCCAGCGTTCCCATGCGGTCGCAGCACCCATTTTGGCACACCTCTCACACGTTTCGTGACCCCATCGGGAGCTCCACCGAATGCGGTGCAGACGACGGTACCCACAACCGCATATGGTTGGGCCCTTCGCTAGGCTCATTTTCATTTGTTTTCGCAATATCTCCGTTCTGGGATAGGTCCGACAGAAGTCGTGACTGCAATCACGACTTCTGTCGGACCTATCCCATTTCAAGACCCTTCAAAACGAGGACGGCACGAAAACGCAACGGAGCCAGAAAAGGAACGTGTACTGTTACGGCTACCTTTGCATTGTTTTCCGGTTTTCAGGCTTGGCATCGTTCGGACGTGTGCATTTTTCTTTCGGCGAGGACCATCGAGGAGCATCTTTGATCATTTGGCGAAAAAACACACGCACGAAACCGAAAAAAACACAAGGAATGGACGTCCGAGCGATGGCCAGCAGGGGGCCTTGGGGGAGCCCCTCGTCGCCACGGCCAGGTTCGTCTCGGAATTCTTCTCGGAACGCACCCCCGGAGAGGTCCGGGGAGCAGTGGTACGGGTAGTTCTTTGCGGCCTCCCACGGAGCCGAGGAAACACATATTTCAGGAGGGAAAGAAACACACAGACACAATTGATCGTCGATTCCCAGGAAAATATGCAAAAATATGGGAAGTGGGGGGGGAGACCAAAACCCTCCAAAAATATAGGAAAATATAGGGAATCTTTTGATTTGTGTGTATTTATTTGTGTGTCCTGGGGCCCCTTCAATATTGCCTAAACATACATGTTCGGAGGTCCTCGCAAAGTTCTGGGATCTGCGCTGGGCCCCCCTGGCGGCGCCTCTGGCGCCGTCCCCAGCGCGCTCCCCGCGCCAGAACCATGTGCTTCTCAGGGGCAAAGATAGTGGGGGATAGGCATAGGGAGGGATGCATGGACCCCCAATCGCCCATTGATCGCCGATAGGGGTCTGATAGCCCCAACCCGCCCAGGAACGTGCGGATTCACCATCGGGGGCCTATCGCCGATCTATCGGCGATGTATCGCCCATTCGAGGTCGATGTTTCCCCCCCTGTGCCTATCCTTCTGTCGGGCGCGTCCCCCTACAGGGAGATTTTCGACGAAAAATGAAAAATAACCCAACAATGCACCAAAAAGGTCAAACAATACCCCAAAAATTGTCCCCAGACTATTCTAGGATTATTTTTTGATTATTTCTGGGGGTATGTTTTATTTTTCATCGAAAATCCCCCTGTAGGGGGACCCCCAACCCGCCCAGGAACGTGCGGAATTTCCCATCGGGGGCCTATCGCCGATCTATCGGCGCTGCATCGCCCATTCGAGGCCGATGTTTCCCCCCCATGTCGCCCGCGCCCTCCACCCTTCCACTACACCTCCTCCTCAGCATCCCCGTCATATCTTTCTCCTCCTCCTCCTCCTCCTCCTCCTCCTCCTCCTCCTCCTCCTCCTCCTCCTCCTCCTCCTCGTGCCTCTCCCCCATGTCGATCTACCGTTGCCCCCCCGGCTTCCTCCGAGGAGTTCCGGGGCACGCCGCCGCCCCCGCGGGCCCCCCCGGGCACCTTCCTGGGCCTGCCCGTTGCCAGCGGCGGCCCGCCGTGCCGCGGCGCCCGCCTGAGCTCCTCCGCGAAGGCCTTCACGCCGGCGGCGCCGTCGGCGGCCACGCCGCCCGGCTCGCGCAAGTTTCGGCGCGAGGTGGAGGGCCTCGCGAACAAGGTCCGAGCGAGAACAACTGCATGCACTCCCTCCCTCCTCCTCCTCCCTCCCTCCTCCTCCCTCCTCCCTCCTCCCTCCCTCCCTCCCTCCTCCCCCCTCCCTCCTCCTCCTCCCTCCTCCTCCCTCCTCCTCCTCTCTAGGCCTCCTAGATGGGGTCGGAGTAGATGGGGTCGGGGGATTGCGCCGCATCGCCGATGCATCGCCGATGCGGCTCGATGTTGAGCCCGATCTGCTTCACGTCAGCGTCGCCGATGCATCGCCGACGTTGAGCGAGAACAACTGCATGAGCACACACAGTGAGCGGCATGAATAAGGAACGCTTGCTTCTCAAGAGGGGCTCGGTCGTTCCTCAGGTTTGCATTCGTTATGTACAGTTCCTTGTGCGTTATTTGTTTTCTGTCTTTCCTTGTGCGTTATTCCTTGGGGCAAAAAAAGGTGCTTCGTTCCTTATTTATCGTTCCTTAGGTCAGGCCGATGACTGTACCTTCGGAGCTCCACTTGGTGGATCTGCGCTGAGCCCCCCTGGCTGCGCCTCTGGCGCCGCTCCTGACGCGCTCCGCGCGCCAGGGAGGGAGCTTTCAGCCCGGATCCAAGAAGTCCGCGCGGACCCTCGAGCGTTCACGTGCATGCAGCTGCTTCTTCCTCGAAAGGTCAAGCTCGCACTTGCGGGCTCCTGCGACATCCTCGTCACGGCGGAGGCCGGCTACAGCCCGCAGGGCTGGTTCGTGTCCGTCAGCCTCTCGGGTCAGAACCTGCACATGAGGGAGTGGCTGCTGACCCAGGCCAAGCAGGCGATCTGCGGTGCACAGCTGAGGCACTCCCAGGTGATAGGCCACTGCGCCCAGCCCTTCCAGCAGACGCCGCTGGGCTTCGCTGCCAGGCTTGGCAGCGTCCCGGACGAGGAGAAGGCCTGCTGGAACCTCCTTAAGCATGGCTTTTGCCAGTACGGCGACTTCTGCCACTGGCAGCACCCCTCGGCGCAGACGGTGCTGAGCGTCAAGGTCAACGTGGTGGCGGAGCTGACTGCCGCGGCGGAGGCCTGATCCGATCTGTAGGCGCGTCCGTGCGCCAGCGGGGGCGTCTGCGGGCGGGAGACCGCTTGGGCGCTGGGCCAGGCTTCAGCTCGGCGGCCCAGCGCTGGGGCCCCGAGGGATGGGGCCCGAAGGATAGCAGGAAGGGATGCCAAGCTTAACCTCCACTGCTGCTGAACCTTCACTCTTTGACGCCACTCGCTCTCAGGGCGCCATCCTTCGAGGCGCCATCCTTGAGCCGCCGATCAGAGGTCCTGCTGACCTCCAGGCCGCCCAAGTGGGGCCAGAGCCGGCAGCGTGCCGCATCGCCGGTGCATCGGCGACGCGGTGCGAGCCAGGGCCCCATGTTCTCGATCCCTGCTGCGCGGGTGTGTCGGCCGTGTTGGGGGGGCGATTCTCCGACCCCAGCAACCCCGGCCCCCAGTTTGGCAGCGTCCGTGGTCAGGGGGCACTGCACGCATGCGCTCGAGAGCTTCGACGTAATTATGCCATTTATTCAGGAGGGGAAAAGCATACAGACACAGTGAGTCGTCGATTCCCCAGAAGATGTGGGAAAATATGGGAAGCGGGGGGGAAAACGAACATCAAAACAAGTATGGAAAGATATGGGGGATCCTGTAATTTGTGTGTATTGGAGAGGCCTGACGGCCGGTGCCGCCGACCCTGATCGAAAGGGCTAGGAGTGGGGGGAGGAAGCGGATGATGATGATGATGATGATGATGATGATGATGATGATGATGATGATGATGATGATGATGATGATGATGATGATGATGATGATGACGATGATGACGATGACGAATGTACGATGCTGATGCTGATGCTGATGGATGATGAATGATGATGATGATGATGATGATGATGATGATATGATGATGATGATGATGCTGATGATGATGATAATGAGTGGATGATGATGACGACGATGACGTGACGAGGACGATTAACGATGCTGATGATGATGATGGATGATGATGATGTATGATGATGATGATGTGATTAGGATGATGATGATGATGATGATGTGATGGTGATGATGATGATATGATGATGATGAATGAGATTGATGATTAGGCTGATGAATTACTGATGTGATGATGATGATGGGAGGAGGAGGAGGAGGAGAGGATGAGGCGGAGGAGGGAGGAGGAGGAGAGAAGGAGGAGAAAGGGGGAGGAGCCGGAGGAGGAGGAGGAGGGGACGGATGAGGAGGAGGAGGAGGGAGGAGTAGAGGAGGAGTAAGGAGAAGGAGAAGGAGGATGAGCGGATGGGCCGATGAGATGCTGCGGAAGATGCTGAGAGGAGGAGGGAGGATGAGGAGGAGGAGGAGGAGGAGGAAGTGCATCCTTTGTGTGCCCGCTCGAAGAAAGTGCGCCCCGGGAATGTGATATTCTGACTTGGGATGTGCTCCCGAAAGAGGAAGAAGTACATCTCGGGCGTGCCCGCTCGAGGAAAATGCGCCCTAGGGGGGTGGTAGTTTGACTCGGGGCCCGCTCCCGGGACGTCTCTGCGGGAGGAGGAGGAGGAGGAGGAGGAGGAGGAGGAGGAGGAGGAGGAGGAGGAGGAGGAGGAGGAGAAGGGAGAGGAGCAGGAGGAGGAGGAGGAGGAAAAGGAGGAGGAGGAGGACCAGGAGGAGGAGGAAGTGCATCCCGTGCGTGCCCGCTCGAGGAAAGTGCGCCCCGGCGGGCGTCGTATCTGCCCCGGGCCCCCCCCCCCTCCCCCCCCCTCTGCGGGGAAGGGATCAAAGGGAAGGGGCTTCCCTTCGACTCCATTACGACGTCGTTTAATTTCGCTTTGGATAGCGCGCTTGAGGAGGAGAGCCCTGGGAGGGGGAGAACGGAGACGACGGAGACGACGAGTCGAACGGAGAAGCCCCTCACACACGCCGACAGGGTCGGCGGATTTATTTGTGTGTCCTTGGGCCCTGGGCCCCTTCAGTTATGCATGGGCGATCGGGTCCTCTGGATGCGTGCAGTGCCCCCCCCCGGCGATCTCCCCTGCTGCAGCCCCCGAGCGGGCATCACCTCACACAACAGACGTCTGTCCGCTGGCGTAAGTCCGCTGACGGGCCGGGGTGCTGTCTGGGCGGCTTCGCTGGCGCCAGGCGTTCTTTCAGTAGTCGGGCTCTCCTCTGCAGGGGCGGGGCGGCCCCACGGCGGGCGCCCCCCCCCTGGTGTTCTCGTCAGCTTCGAGCGAGCGTTCGCGCTCGCATGCAGCAACAGGGCTGGCACAGAGGGGGCGCCGAGGCGCGGCGTCCCGGACCCCTTGGCACGGTGGAGGCAGCCGTCGAGGAGCATTGGGGGAGCGCTCGAGAGCGTTTTGGGAGGACGGTATCAAGCTGTTTGGGTTCTTTTCAGGTCCACACTTTTGGACCTACCGTACCCCAGATCCCCTGCGTTGGGGCCAGTTCGGGATTCGGCGTGCCCTTCGAGTCACCCCTCTACTGACTGCCTGGCCCAAGGCTTGCGTTGTAATGGCTGCTCCGATAATCAGTGGACCATCGCGCCACGGAATGCCACGGGGGCGACGGCGGTCATCGAGTAGGGTCGCGTGCGAGGTGCAGGCCCTCCCGGGCATGGTTTCTGTATAACTTGAAAGTTGTTGGGAGTTTGCTTGCGTTGGCCAAACTTGTCCCTGGGGGGGTGGAATCTGAGCGAAGTGCCCTTGCCCGCCTTGTCTTGGTACTACGGAACGGAAGGCATCTCATCAGGAGGGAAAGAAACACACAGACACAATTAATCGTCGATTTCCCAGAAAATATAGGAAAATATGGGAAGTGGGGGGGAAGACGAAAATCCAAAAAAAATAGGAAAATATTGGGAATATGTTTATTTGTGTGTATTTATGTGTGTGTCCTGGGGCCCCTTCATCTCAGAAGTCTGACGCGCGCGGGCACCACTGCACCCGCGCAGCAGAGGTGGGACTCCACGGGTGGCCACTCGTGGCTTGGCCCCGCAGCGCAGCCCCCTTTGGCGACCCTTGAGTTTTTCCAGGTAAAGGGCTTGGTATACACCTTAGGCGATGCTTAAGAAAACTTACGCTTTCGGCCAGAGTCTCGATTATTCTTAATGTGTCAGTGTGAATCCTAAAATTTTGATAGAAACGTTGGGTTTTATTTAGTTTCTGAGACTATGAATTTCTTAACCCATGATTTCTTAAGCATTTCGCAGGGTGTACAACAGTTGAATATTGCCGATCCCCGGGAAGTGCCTCGGACACCCTTGTGGCCCATCACAGGTTACAACCAGCGATCGCTCTGGGCGCAGTGGCGCGGCGGCCCAGATCCCGTCTGGAGTCTGGATGATGTTTGTTTCATTGTTCGAGCATGCCCACTGGCCCACGCGTTCTGCTTGTGACGCGCAGGCATTCAAATCTGCTGTCTTGAATGCGGACTGCTTCGAAGCTGGAGGCTGCATGAGCCCGTCCAGGTTGCATCACCGATCAGTGCCGATGGCGCATGGGTGGGCTTTACCGTTCCGCATTGCTCCCCCCCCCCCCCCCGCCTACCCATGCCCGACGGCCCGTTCGGGCCCCACGCGCGCAAACCGCGACCACTCCCGACGCGATCCGCCCCCCGCGCCCCGCGGGTGAGACTGCCCGCTCCTGCGAGCCCCCCTGCGCCGCCCCGGCCCCCCCCCCCCCCCTCCCCGCGCTTCTCGGCAACGCGCAAAGGGGGGTATGGGGGAGGGGGGAAGGCTTCTTAGAAGCACCTCTGCTTCTCAGAAGGCGCCGGCCTCGTCTGTAGATGTAAAGCCCGCGCCTCCTAAGAGCCGGCCTCCTCCTAAGAAGCCTTCCCCCCTCCCCCTGCCCCCTTGTGCGCGCCGCCAAGCTTCTTCGGCAGCTCGGAGCACGAGTCTTCCCCAGGGCCCGCTAGTACGCACAGAAACCGATTCAGACTTATGAGGGGCGTCCGGCTGAAGCATCCAGAGCTCTGAACAGAGTCCGCTACTCGAGCCAGGTCCGCAAAACTATTCGTATGCAACCGATTTTTTTCGAGTTTTTCGGCCCTCGCTTTAGAATCCCGCACGGGCGCGCCCGACGTGCCAGCCTCGAGGAGCCAACTCGTTCTGCCTTTCCCGGGCTCGGGCGCCCGCCCTCTCCGCGCCGCGCCGCGAGGGGCCCCGGCGCCCGCCAAAAGTGCTCCGCGGCGCGCGCTCTCCCCCCGACGCTCGGCCGGCCTCCTCCTCCTCCTCCTCCCTCCTCCTCCTCCTCCTCCTCCTCCTCCTCCTCCTCCTCCTCCTCCTCCTCCTCTTGTCCGTAGCCATTTTGGCTCAAGACTTTTCCATTCGCGGGCTGAACCCGCATTGGCTTTCACGGATACCGCTAGTCCGCGGCAGCGCGAGGCCTTTGAGGCCGACAGTTCGTCTTTGCGCTGGCTGGTCCGCCCCAGTCAGCTTCCATCACGATAACTCTCCATAGAGCCACACTTGCGGCATGGCGTGGGGCAAGGCAAAAGGCGGAGGCAAAGGCAAGTCTTACAGCGATGTTTGGCCTCCTCTTGTGCCTGGTCCTCTGTTCTGCAAGGGCGGCGGCGGTGTGCAGGATCAGGCCGCCAACCAGCAGCCAGGCAAGAAGTGGAAGTGCCAGGCTTGCGGTTGCGCCAAGAACGCCGCTCGGTTCTATTATTGCAAACACTGTGGAGCCTATAGGCAAGATCCAATTTCGGCATGGTCAGGAGATGCAGCGCTTCAGTTGTTCGGCTACGGGCAACAACGGTGGCGCTACGTGGGGCAAGGGTCCAGGCGGTGGCGACGCTGGGCAGCAACAGAAAGGAGCTGGAGGCGGCAACCCCAAGGGAGGAGGCCATCAACCCGTTCCTGCTGGTGTCGCTGCAGCAAAGTTCACCGCCGCTGAGTACGAGACCATGGCAGGCTTCGCTGAACGTATGGGAGACTCTGCAGGCGCAGCAGCCCATCGTCGTGCAGCCAAAGCCCTCACCGCGCCGAAGCAGGAAGAAGAAGCTATTCAGGTTCGGCTCAATCGGGCCCACTGGAAGGCGCACGGGATCAAC